AAATCGGCGCACAGTCTATGGAACTAATAATTATATTTGTATAGTCACATATGAACATTACTAAGCACCAAGATTCACTTTGACCGAAAATAGCATTTCTTCACGATTGGGAAAGTTATTTTTGTTAAAGTAACTAGTTACACAGAGTTACAGTTTTTTTCTTTTAAAAAGTAACTAATTATTGTTACAAGTTATTGATTCTGAAAAGTAACATGTTATCATTATAATTACTTAAAAAGTAACAAGTCGTTACTTTACAATTATTTTTTTAATTTTTCGTAATTTTATGCATTGTTATTTAAAATGCAAGAGTTTTATACATCTTTAGCATTACTAAATTATTTTATTCATATTGAATATTCAGTTATACACTATATTAATAATAAATTGATTACATTATTTAGTTTTGTTATATTTACAACAAAATATTGTTTACTTAGAAAATCAAAATTTATAGGAATTAATATTATTAAAACGTGTTTATATACTAAAGGATTTTTAGTATAATTTTTAATATAAACATTTTTACAGAGTGTGATGATTATCAAGGCTAAAGATATATTCCACTCACAAGAAATAATTGTTTACATTAAACATTTTGTTTTGCTCAGACCATATATTGACGAATAAATTTGAAGCATATGAAGTAATTATAAATGTAATTATTAAATTAGTGATTAGTTACCAAAGAAATATAACTAAGTTAAGTTACAGTTATAGAGATGAAAAGAAAGGAACGAAGTTATATTAGTTACTGGAAAAAAGTAACCTAACACTGTTACTTAGAATTAATGAGCTGCAATTAGAATTACAAGTTCCTTCTTGTATTTCTTCTCTTTATTTGTGTTTATATTTATTTATATTAATATTTATTGATATTAATGAATATATAATAATTAATGAATATATAATAATTTTAATAGTCAATTAATTATTTTTATTACAACTTTATTTGTTACAGATTGATTTTGATTATTTATATATTATCTTACATGACAAAGTATGTGAAACTTGTAACTTTCTTCAAGATATTGAAATTACATTATAAGTCTTTGCAATTTATCGGTAATAAGTAAGATCATTTAATTCTGAAACCGATGAATATTGTACATAGTTTTAATTATACATCGTTAGATTTATAAGATGTGCAACATTATTTATAGATAAGTAACAGAAGTATTTTTGCCTCGAGAAATGCAATTATCCTGTCAAATGTTCCCTCTTCTGAATTTTTTTATGTTCTTGTTTATACTGTCGTATTGATTGTATTTTACTATTATTGTGGCGATTCTATAAACGTTATACTTTCCCAACGGTACAGATTTCTTGACGATATCTTCGATAGCGCAGCAAGATTGCAGGGGGAGAGTTCTTCACATGTGCTCGAGGTGTAACGCATTCATGGGAAATGTCGCAAAGCTCGAACGAGAGCCTCGCGCCCGCAACTTTCAGCGACCGATGAATTATCCTCAGAGTCAAGACAAGTACGAAGAAGTTCGCGCGCGGAACTCGCCACACGTTGATGCGTTTTTCCTCACTAACCGGCTGCGAATTCTCTTTTTCCAGATCCGTACCTGAAGTGGACCCTGCAGCGCTCTCTTAACATCGACTACAGCCAGAACGTTCTGCCACGTCATCAATGTCCGAAATGTCATCGCAGCTATAAACATCGTAGTCACATGATGCGGCATTACAGATACGAGTGCGGCATACCGCAGCGATTTGAGTGTCCGTACTGCAAGCATCACTTGCGACAGCGTACGCACGTGTGGACGCATATACGCACGTTCCATCCGGATCGTGAACTTTACTGCATCGATATTGTCACCAACTCGAGGCTTTGTTGGCAGGAACCCCGAAGTGACTGAGACAAATCAGTCACAGAGCGATTCTGCCTTTAAAAAATTAGAGTCTGTTATGTTTATTTCATTACATTTTATGATATATAAGAGATATTTAATCTAAATTGATTGATATGTTCAAAAAGAGAATTTATATTTATATATTTCCATTTTTTAATATTTTTTAAATTTACGTCTTTGTACAGGATACGAGTAAAATCTTCGTATCCTGTATTTCGTAACATAATTTCCGTAATGTACATGTCAATGAAAAAAATATGTATACTTAAAATTGTAAATAATATGTACAGTAATACGGAAATTACGTTATAGAATATAATGTGATATGAGAATCATGACTGTCTCAAGAGCTCAGATGTATTGCTTAATTATGCTTGATTACTTAGAATACTTTATAAGATAGTTGTTTCAAGATCCTTTTCAAGAATTAAGAAATGAAAGTTTAAAAGAATAGCTTCTCAAAATATTTATATTATAAATGTACAACGTGTATGTCTTATATATATATATATATATATATATTTATATTTAAATTAAAACACAGTTTTTAATATCTCTATATTAGTATATATTCCTAAGCTCAAACGGTTACTTTAGAAGAATGATCGAATAGTCGGTGTCAAAATGTTTAGAACATTTTTCCAGTAATTCCTAAAACGCATTCGATATCACAAGAAAGTTTATTTTCCAGTTTTTTTTATTATAAGAAAAACAAATTTTCTTGTTATATGTCAGATGCGTTTCGAGGATCACTAAAGAGTTATATTTAAAAAAATTATTTCAATTTTTACATCAACTATATAATAAATATTATCTTCTATCACAAAAGTTCTTCGCTAATCAAACAATCGTGGTAGACTTATCTTCGTTAATTCCTTCATCGTTTTTAGTATTTTCTCACTTTTAGACGGGTCAGTATCAATAGAAACCTAATAAATTGTATTTCATAAATCATTTTTCGTTTCCCGACGAAACTAATCTACGTGCTATCTCAGTAAATGTATAAGAAAACTTACAGTCATACATGAATATAGTTACTGTCTCCTATCTCCAAATTTTGACTTGAAATAACGAATTTGAATATCTTTAAATTAAAGATATGTGATATTAGCCGTGATTGCACTAAACATTTTATATGACAGTTCTTTTTCTTAGAGAATGTAACGAAACATTCATTCTTGCGATCTTGCGTTCGCCAATAAAGACAATTATTATTTGAATGACATCTTTTTCTTTTCTCGTACTTTCTTTCTTCGTTTACTTCTGTGGACAATAAAGTCGACGCTTCCGATTTTGGCAACTACAATATTTAACGAACGGTCCTAACCATGCGGTTTTCATAATTTATAAAAAAAAATGGTGAAAGAGTGGGCTAACATCATTTTGCAGGACACATCGGCCATTACGAGGAAAATTGAGAATCGACTCATTACTAAAACGCTCCCGCTTTTTCATGGGTTTCAGATAATTCCTCTGACCGGAGGAGAAACCACGAAGAAGTTTATTTGGATCCAGACGATATCAATATGCGAAACGGTCTATACGAGTGTCCCAGTTGCGGCAATCTGTACAAGTGGAAGAAATCGATGCTTTCGCATCTACGTTATCAGTGCAAACAACCGCCGAGATTTGAGTGCACGTATTGCCCAATAAAAAATTACCAGAAAGGACATATTCTACGTCATCTGCGCGTACATCACCCGCATCTATCGCCACTATATTTCGATCGGAAATTCAACACCATATATCGGCTTTGATTAAGTATACGTTTGTCCTCGTATATCACGTTTGTTATGTTCAATAAATTAAACAGCTGGATCTTGAATTGAGTGGCTAATTTGTAAAGAATCCTATTGCGTCCTACGATTGTCGACGTCTGATCATTTTGTTTCCGTGTTATCGTGAAATGTGAATGTATGTTTATTATATTCAATTAATCTTATTATTAATCTTACGGATTTAATCAATTCGTCGTTGCTTCTCCGCAGGTATGGTTGCTATTACATTGACAAATAAAATGACACTAATGATATATCTTAATATTTTTTCCAAGACTAGGATATGTCGATCGACAGTTGGCCTTTTCGTAATATTAATATATTGTGCTAGACATGTAGTTTGTATACACGATTTATTTACGACGCGTATAGACGAAGACGGAAATGCTGAGTACGTGCAAAGTCACGTTGCGAGGAGTGTCCTTCAGATTTAATTATTTTCATTATGCGTTGCTTGCGCTGGGGAATTCGATGATGGAGCCTAAGCCGAACGGCCGGTGATCATCGTAAAAGCTTTTCTTTCTCGCGCGCACTCGAGCATGTCCTTCAGCATCTTCGTCTCCGTGTTTCAGGGCTCCACGTGGTGTCGCCGTTCGGACCGAACATGATCTGCAAGTATCAACCGGGAACGGACAGCAAGCTCAATTCTGAGACCTGTAGGAAAACGAGGATACGTACGCGCAAGGTCAGCACCGACAACATGAAGCCGTTCCAGTGCCAAAAATGCGGTCGTGGTTTCACCTTGAAGAGGAACAAGGACCGCCACGTAAACTACGAGTGCGGACACGAGCCGAGGTTTCAGTGCCCCTATTGCGGACTCCGCAGCAAGCAAACGTCGCCAGTTTATGCCCACATCAGAAAGAAACATCCGGAAGAGGAAGTCTTTATCTTCGATATGAAGCTCTGAGCACGACAAGAAGATCGCGAGTGTCTCTAATTCCATACCTGAGCTACTGGAGTGAATTTCGTCTTTCCATTGGACTCGGCTATCTATCGCGATCTTCACACATCATTACGAAGACAGATGTTTCTCAATCTCGCTTGTTACTGCCATATTTATCTTTTCCGTAAAAGAAATTGATCGTAATTTTACATATTGATATTTCATTTCGGAACTATCAATTTAATTAATCAGATATACCTATTATTTAATTCAGTAGCAAAATTTATGTTGTGAAAGAAATATTGATAAAAAGGTTATGATTTAACGAGAAATGTAATCTTAGAATGACATTCTACGTTCTACATGAAAATATTATTAAAGTCATTAGATATTTGTTAAATATTGTTAACGTAAATTTTTTTTATTTAAGTCAATTAGGATTTGAATTTTTCTTAATTATGAAAATTTCTAATTCTGACTAAAAAAGAAAGATGTTCGCGAATGGCTGGTATCACGCGTGTTGAGAAATTGCTCTACATCACAGAGACTTTGCCAAGCGACGACCAAAGTCAATCACTGAAGAAGATTCTAACCTTGAGATAGTTGACGCCATACTTTATGATCCGAAAAAATTGTTGCTTCTACTTTATAAGAGGATAATAATTCGCTTGTACGTTGTTTTGTAAAATAAAGTTTTATCGCAGATTTATGTCTACCGCTGAAATGCATAGATTTTAATAAAGCGGCTAGACATTAATGCCATTCTTGTTCACGTACCTTTTTCAAGTATACGACCTGCTATTAGCAGCACGGATCTCTCATCACCCGAAGACTGCACAATCCGACGTTTCGATTTTTCTAATAGATTTCTAGATTTACGTAGATTCTCGTAAACAATAAGAATCACACGTAGCGATTTTATATTCCAACTTTAGACAGCATTTTCGTAAAATAACACACGTGCTTCTGCGTCACCGTAGCCCGCGCGACGGAAGCGTTGCTGAATATAGGTTCGTCACGAAGATGCCCCGCAATTTTCAAAGGTATTTTCTTTATTATTTCCTTCTTTCGTCATTATTTCTTTTGCAATTATTTCATCTATTAAATTATTCTTCCCATTACAAAGCATGAATACTATTCCGGGAAACTTTCCAATGCTCCTACATTGAAGACTCCGACTTTCCCTCGAATCTTTCCGCCATTCGTCTCTCAAACGCGGTGAGTTGTTACATCTTATTAACCGACCGACTTTGAAGTTTCAGGTTTTTACGCGACGACCCCGCAGCTGGATCTGAACTTCGTGTTGCAATCCTGCAAGGGCTTCGAGACCGATAGCAGCAATAGGGATTTTGGCCCGGACTGCTCGTCCATGTCGAGGACGAATTACTTCTCTCATGGTCGCGTGAGAAATACCTATCATTCGAAGGTCACGTTCAGCGACACCAAACCTTTCGGTTGTCCCAAGTGCGGCCGCTGCTTCACTGTCAAGGGCAATATGACCAGGCATTACAAGTACGAGTGCGGTCAGGCGCCGCGCTTCCAGTGCCCCTATTGCGAGTTCCGCAGCAAGCAGACGTCCAACGTGATGTCTCACATTAGGACCAGGCATCCCGGTCAGAAGGTCTACGTAGTGCACCTCAAATACGAGGACAAATAAAGGAAAAGGACGACCGTAGACATTGCAATCTCGTGTGACGACAGTGACAGTTTCTCGATTTGAAACGAGCAGGGAACCGCACTCGTGTGAAGAGAACGAATCGTATGGGAAATTTGAAAAATTTTTACCGAACAACAACACAGGTCTTATATGATCATTACATTTCTCGCGCAATATCGTTCAAGCGTCTAGTACGATCGTGTGTCCAATCCGATGTATCGACATTCGTTGAAATAGACCGGACATGTAAATTATTTATTGCTCAGATTCTACGCGACAAGATGTCTCATGAACGTCCTTAGCTATTAAGAGTTTGACGAGCGCGGTGCGGTTCCTACGTCATTGATCGGATGATATTTAATCTGGATATCACGTAAATACCAATTACAATACCTAATGCAATAATCAAGGGCAAGAGCGCGGATGTTGGTTAACAATTGCTTAGTCGTATGAGATACGACTTCGTCGTGGGGGTCTGCTGTTGATGAAGCGCGAAACGGTGGCGAACCGTGTAAAATTTGTAGCGGCTGAAATAGTGGGATTCAGTATTATCGTCAGATATTCTCTCCGTCTTTACACATTACGAAATATTTCCATGCTTAGCAGTTAATGAACCGGCGCGCGGAACTTCTCAATGTGCTACGTGAAATTATGACGTTTCCGAAACGCTATCAGTCCAGCCTCGGCGATGTGAGTCATGTGAGGCTTTCGAAGTACGCGAGAAAAAGGTCTTCAGCGCAAAAGCACATTCCGAGTTTCGGTATTCGCGCGCTATCCAATAAGCAATCTTTCGATTATTAGGGGCTTTAAAAGAGTCGTATGTTTTTTAAAATGTAGATGTATACCTATAAAGATTCAGGTTGTGAGGTTGATGATGGGACACGAGGAAACATTTGCAGCATGTGCGTCTAAATGTACTAGGTATGATCAGACTAGGTATGAGCGCCGAGTCGCGACTGGTTCGTATTATTAGCGAAGAATTTGTTCGATTTTACAATTGACAAATCGGAATTGTTATAGACGACGAGCGACGTGCCGAACGAGATCACGGGTGCTCGTCATGAAGACTGAATTGTTACTAACGGGAGCAGAAAGTCTGAGAGAACAGGGTTTTAAGCGGTCGGAACAAACGTAGTTACCTTCTGTTTCATCACGATATAGAATCACGCGCTGCCGTTCTTACGTGAAGACGCATTTGTTCTAACATGAAGATGCATCGTACACAAGGAACACTAATAGCAATCGATAATATAGAATATATTTCACCTATCAACGTCGCGAAAGTAGATGGAAGTGTTGCTCTTCATGTATCGCGGAAACACCAGTTTGTCACACGTTCGGTTCTTTCGCGATTTCATTATCGCGGCACGTGCCTGCTTTCGTTTTTTGCAATCGTATCGCATCCGCGCGGATGGAAGGGTCTCTTAAAGACACGAAACACGTTAGTGACCGACTGTTTTTGTTGCTGTGATATAATTATTCGTGTAGTGATATAAGTGTATTTGACTAACTACATACGCGACGAAGCTACGTTAATCACGTTATCCGCTGTCGCGCGTAGAAACGAGTGTTTGTTCCGTTATCATACGTAAGATAAGGTGGTACAATTTCGAACATGGTATCATTTTGAATGAAATAAAATTTTAATCTAATTTTTGAAGCTCAAGTTTGATTTTTTTTTCTGTTTGGTACTTTTCAATACCCTCCAAAGATTAGAATTATTAAACTGGAACCTCGAAAATTGGATTGTTTTAAACAATATTAAAGTATCATATTAGACTGCGATGTGAATACACAACGATTAAGAAGCAAAGCGGGCACAAGCTTGGCTCTCTAAATTAATTACAGATTTTAAGTTGTTTAATAATAAATATCATTATAAAGATGCCTGTGGGCATTAATATTGCCTGTCAATTTAATTTGTGATGCTACTACTCTACTTCTATTAGAATTACGTTTCGAGTCTAAAAATAAATTTGGCACGCAGTTTGAAGGATTAGATTTGTGGTATATAAATTCACACGGAGTTGTTTCGGTACTGAAGATCGAAGCTCGATCGTTTAGCCTTTGTTTCTTAATTGTTGTGGATTATTTTATTTCGTTCAAAGTTGTATCATGTTCGAAATTGAACCATTTTACCCTATATTTCATTTAATTTGTGATAATAACTATTCCAGCTTCGGTTTATGATTGCGTTTTCAAGTCCAACAGTAATTGGCGTATAGTTTTTATAGAACTGAAAAATGTATTTAAAATTTACGTAGAAATACTATTAGACATCAAGATCCAGCCTCGTATTTGGCGTTTCTCTGTTCACTTGTGTTATTCACTTAGCAGACTAGTTTAACTTGTTACTGTTTATATATTTAATTTTCGTTTTTATCTTCATATATTCCGTCTTCGGATTAAGTACTTTAGGATGTCGAGCAAGTTTTCGCGAACAAGGGATCTCGTCTGCACGGGGTATTTTGATGGACGCAAAACAATCCTCGGGTTGTAAGCCCCGTGTTCGAGCTTCGTACGACGTACGTCAAGATACCCTAGGATTCCTGGCCGATTAGAAACGCAACATGTTTTTACCGTCGGTATATCAATAGCGAGTTTCCCGCGGTACGTTTTATGATCGTATATCGTCGCTGTGGAAATGTAATATAAAAATAAATTGATGTTCGGACACCCTAATGTGCCAAATGTGCTTCAGTATTTTTCCCCCTGATGTCCCGAACCCTTTCAGACTCCCCTTTACGAATCGGGCATGTTACTTCAATTAAAACGTTCCGGGACATAGGACCTCATCCGACGAACCTGTTATAGCTGCACGGTAGACGATCTACACGCGTGTGGTGTTTGTTTGCGGCCGAAACTAACGATGCCTATCCTTACCTTTCGTAACTGCGAGGAATGTACTTGACATCAAGTTTTCTATCAACGTATCCGATTATTCCACCCACGTGCCACGAGACTAATATCATTGGGCAGTAATTTACGTAATCTTTTTATCTGCATTTATGTGCTTTGCGTCAATGATCCTTGCACTTTAATATCTAACGAGCCATTCTTCACCAGGGCCAATGACAAGTATTTCCAACTTGACTTTCTCATCAATCACGGATAGGCTGTCTTATTTACCTATCTTTCAGTTTTTCAAAGGAAAAAATTGTTGTTCGTTAAATGATAAACATGTAGATAAAACTTGTCGATGTGCCCGATGTCAGAAGCTACCACGCATAGCAATCCGGGCCAAGTCTCACAATTCGGTTTTTGCTTTCAGATCTTCTCATGATGGACTGCTTCATGAACTTCGCAGGTCCCGAGGAACGTTTGCCCCCTCAGTCACAGAAGGCTCTCTACTATTGTCCTAAGTGCCTGCACGGTTTCACCCTGAAGAGTAATCGCAATCGTCACTTCAGATACGAATGCGGCCACGAGCCCAGGTTCAAGTGTCCTTACTGCGAGTTGCGCAGCAAGCAGACATCGCAGATCTATAGTCACATCAGAAAAAAGCATCCTTCCGAAAGAGTCTGGGTCGTCGATCTCAAATCCTAACGAAACGTGCAAACATCGCGTGGATCCTCCGTCTTGACCATGAGAGCAGTGTTGTGTATTATAATGATTTCAAACATAATAAATGTTACCTACACATTACTTCCCGTCTTGACGATTCTGATGGTGCTCTTATCTTTCACTCGTCGCTAATTGCGTGCTCATCTTTTCAAAGTTCCACTTTCAGAGACAGATTGCCAACGTTACGAGAACGTCTGCTTATATTAACTACGTTATCAGGTACGAATATATAATGTGCGAGGTAATAGAAATTCCTAATAAAAATTCGCCCAACTCGAGCTTCTATGAGAAACTCGATGTTTGTCTTTATAATATTTCGTATATAACTTATGTCAAATGCGTCACACGACATCGTAAAAGTTCATGATGATCTACATATCGACTAATGATGCTAGATTAAAACTGGGTGATATCATTTATAATTTATGTATTATATTTACGCACGATATTATCTTTTGTTAGTACAAGCCGTCATTACATTACACACATATTTTAATGACATACGAGAGAGAGAGATGAAATCGTAAAATTCACTTTAATCCAGGTATCGATGTTTCTTTTGTATCAAAAAGCAATAAAAGGATTGGTAGATAATAGTAATATATTATTGGAAAGAAATAGTTGACTGCGTGACGATTCCAAGAAGAAATAAAAATTTTCATTAAAATATGTATGTACTCCATTTTAGAACATTTTTTTGCATATCAGCTTTCAGTATAGTCTCAATTCGACCAGTTGAAACGCATTATAAATACACATTGCACCAGACACTCGCTTTTTAATTAAAACAGACGTCGCACATATGTGCTCAATAACAATACAATGATCTTTCCCTGAACTGTCGATAGTTCGTCAATGATTATCTGCGATTATTGGTCTCTTTCTAATCGTTCCATCGTTTGCTTTCAGTTCTTCTGTACGGAAGTTACGGGATCGGTCTATATGACTCAACGAAGCCCGACCCAAATCAGAGCATCATGGTGTCGCCAATTCGACGACGAGGAAGTGGCCGCCGTAATCACGTGTGCCCGAAGTGCGGTAATGGTTACACCGTGATCAAGAGTCTCAGGCGACACTTGCGCTATGAGTGTGGTCTGACCCCGAGGTTCAAGTGCCCTTATTGCGGCACTCGCAGCAAGCAACGCGGCCACGTGAGCCAACATATACGCAGGAAGCACTCCGGTCAGCGCATCTATATCATCGACTCGCCCTGATGAGGCTTCACCCAGTATACTCTCTAACGAAACGTTCCTCTTCCTTTGGCGACACACGTTAGCAACGTCGACGTATAGTCTGACAATCTTGTTTTATTATTCTTGGTTTTATCTCTTTCGACATATTCGATCTATCGACACTCTTATTGGTGAACCGATATTACATGTAATTGTAATTGTCGTTTTGTTAACTGTGCTTAATGGAATAAAGCATTTCCACGACATTCTACTGGTTTTCGAGAAAGTCGTTTCATTTCCATTCACTTTATATATCAAACGCTTGCATTGATAGCTCCTCGGAACAATCTGGACGCATTTCGTGGTTTGTTGACGAACAAGCCAAACAGGTAAACGGAGATCTTGAGCGCTTGAACTCCTCGGGGTCAGGTGACGGGAATAATTCGCGGTAACACTCGCAAGCGTCTTCATGATCTTCTCATTTTTATCTCTTTCTCCTTCACGCTCGGAACCAGCGTATCTTGATCATCTAGCTAACTCCGCGTCCTGTCGATTTTTTTTTAGACGCGAAGATGATCAAGCTGGAGACCATGTGTCTGCAGAGTATGTGCGAGGTGGTGATGGAGGAGTCCCAAAACTTTAGCTACGAGGAAGAGAAGCCACTCAACTCAACGAGGAGGCGTCGCGGCGGACACGTGCAGGGCGACATCGAGAGGCACACGTGCTCGCGATGTTCGAAGAGCTATATACATGCGTGGCATCTGAAGAGACACACGAAATTCGAATGCGGCCAGGAGCCGAGAGTCCAGTGCCCTTACTGCTCCGCCAAGATGAAGCAACGCGGTCACGTTTACAGGCACATCCGCCAATGTCACCGAGGAGAAAACGTTTTCGTGATCGATCTTAACTGAGAACTCACGAAGGCGAGAATGATGAATTTCAGTTCACGGCCATCCAGCAACAGAGTTTTGAATCTTCAATATTGGCGTTGATTCGTCAATCCTCACATTTACTGAGCAATAATTTTGCCAATTCGCGTAATCGTTTCGAAACATGTTTTATATTCTGACTTTTTAAAATTCTTTTTGTTATAAATTGTATAATACTTGTATTATTTATCTATTTTTAATGCATCTGTTGAAACGAAAGCTTTTTCGTAAGTTGCGTGATTTCGAATAGTTCGTGTTGCTTTCAAATATGTATAGGGTAATGAAGAAATCTCATCCTTGGGACTTGTCAATAATATGAAACTAAATTCAAACTAGACATTTATATATTCATTTCAGTTTTTATCTCAACGTTTTTTACTCGATTTTTATTTCTTGACTGGATTATTTTATTTGGGCTTAACATGATACTCGTCGTCAGACGACGAATTATTTATTTAATTTATTATTTGACGATTACATCATATCATCTTGTTGGATGTGAGTAAAGCATATTGACCAAAATTATCATGTCGAGAAAAAGAAATATTTATTTAATAATTTGAGATATCAAAGTCTGCTTTGATTTGGCCTCTCGTTGTCACTTTTACAGTGTTTAGTTTATCACCGTTATATTTTATTATACTGATACGTTATTTTAAAATTTTAGTTGAGTACATATTAATTTAAACCGATGAAGACTCTGTGATAGTCAAAATGTATTGATTAAACCTAAAAATATATTATATTTTCGAACATTTTACTTGCTCGATCATTGAGTGTTTTTAATTATATTATTATTATTGTGCAATTGAATGTATCTGAAATAGGGAAATGGAGGATTCGTATCTGCCGCAATACAATTATTATAGTACGGATACTGATGTATCTAGTCATCATGATGATTAAAATTTAGATATGATAGAGGAAAGATGAACAACAGAAAAACGAAAAAAACTTATTTTAACTGTATTATCTCTTGTATCTTGTCTCATTATCTTAAAAAAACGAATAAAATACGATATTTTTTTACTTAATCGAAATAAAGTCATTTCCTTGGTAGATTATTGATCATTGTCCGTATTATAAACTATACATATTATAAACAATCGAATAAAGCAAGTTCGTTTTGTTATTTTCTTAAGAATGTTTGATTATTGTCGATTTAGATGCTTCTCGATATTTTTAATAACATTATTTGGATTGTTATTATGACTAATGTGCATTCTATTCTTTAGGTCCTTCAAACTTTTCCAATGTGAACAATTAGATTTCGAATAGAGATGAGAGGGTCGATAGAATTAGCAACCTGGTTTTTGCAACGAGACTTCGTCGTCCATTTAATAATATTACATAAAGCATTTTGGTAATTTGAGCGATTCCATTTTCATATGACGTGCGTTTGTGGGTTGTACACCAAAGAGGCTCATATTATCATGGCGCGATGAGTTTAATATATATGATTTATAAGATTTACGGAAAATTTTCAATTTACATATATATATATATATAATACACACAGAAGCCTAATAGAGGATAAAAGAAGATAAATGATCTAATATTTTTATTATATATTTTAATGTTTATGCATTTACTAAAATTATGAATTAATGATTAGTTTAAATAAATATTTATATAATTCAATCATGTTATTATCTTTTCCATCAAATATAGATTTATGGTTTTTTTTCATGAGTAATTACGGAGAGAGGTTAATTAAGTATTCTGTTAATCAATTTTAATAAAAATTTGATGAAATTTGTAATAATAAATTCTGTAAGATGAAACAAGCAAAAAATATCTTAAAAATTATAAAACGAATTGCTTTTATTATTGAGAAAATTTATAAACCTAAATTCATTGAAAATAAATAAATTTATATTAATAAAATTAATTAGTTATTAAATTTATATGTTATAAATTTTTCTTTCTAAAATTTTCTCCAAAATATGTTTGAAATAACTGAATATTTTAATTCTGATGCAGTTTCCAGAAAGAGAGATTGAACAAAATTTTTAATAAAATTGATTCTCAAAGTGAAATATTTTAATGATTTAAGAATCTGGTTTTTCAGGTACCTGAAAATTGAAGACTGGGCTTTCCTCAAATTGGAGTTACATATTCAAATGTGAATGTTCAAAATCTAAGCAATCATTTTTATGATTTTACCAATTGAAAATTCCGTGGCACAATATTATATCCTGCCTACAAAAATTACCTCGCCTATCATTTGTCTCAGATTTAATCGCATTTATGATTTATTTGTAGATTCAAATAACAGCGCAAGTAATAAAATGAGAAACACATTTTTCTTTCTCTTTCTCTCTCTACTTTAATTATTACTTAATACTTTCATAAACGCAGCCACTGCATCTTTTTCTATAACTAACGCCCCCCGTTTTCTTCTTCCTCTCGCTTGCAGAGCCATCAATACCGCGCATGATTCTGCCCAGGAACATGCAGCAACGGATCTATTTGCCGATGATGTCAATTAAGGATCTAACACTCTGGATGGGCAAGCAGAGAGGGGATATTACATTCCCCTATCGTTGTGAGAGATGTGGCAAAGGTTACCAGCATCGCGGCACCTTACTAAGGCACACGCGACATGAGTGTGGCAAGGAACCGCAATTCAAGTGTCCGTATTGCCCCCATAGGACGAAACA